CCCGCGGGAGCGGCGCCCCGGTGCCCCCGGGCTGCAGGGGGAGGGGTTGGCCCCGGGCTGCTCCGCTGGCTGCGAGTCCCCGCCCGGGCCCGGGGCAGCTGCCGCCCGCCCCCAACTTGGGCCGAGAGGGGGAGGAAAGGGCAGGGCAGTAACTGGGTGCGGAGCCAGCTTGTGATGACAATTCATGGTGTTGTTTTTAAAGGAGGCATTGAGGGTTCAATGGGTGGGTTTTTTAAAGTGAAAACGGATTTAAATGTGAAAAGTCCGATTTTTCATGTTTTTTTTCTTACAAAAATCACCCTTTTTAATCCAGCCTGGTTCTGATGGGTGGGGCCGGGCCGGGGGGGTAACAAACTCACTGGGTTTCTTCCCACAGGGCCAACCCAGAGAGTCCCAGCGCGTGTCTGTGGGGGCAGGGCCTGGGGGGACTCGGGGGGCGACAGGGACTCAGGCCCCTTCTGGCACCTCCCCCATCGCCCCTCTCGCCCCAACAGGCCGAGGAGACACGTCGAGAGTTCGCTCCAGAGCGCCCGTCTGCCAGGGGCCGGGCAATGGCCGGGATGGAGCCCGCTCAGGTAGGGGGGTTCAGGGAGCTGCTGGGCGGGGGGAGGGAGGAGACAGGGTGGGATGAAGCTGCTGAGTTTCTGAGCAGGCCCATGGGCAGGGTGTGACCGCGCCCCCATTTCTAACCCAGGCCCCAGCCTCCCTGGGCAGGGCTGTGAAAATGGCCCAGACTCCCAATGCTGAGACCTGAGCCCCCAGCCAGAGGTTGCTGGGAAACACAAAGGGAAGCTGCCGGGATTCCTGTCCCTGCCTGTGGCTCAGAGCTCGGCTTCCGCCTCAGCCTCTGGCTAGTACAGGGGTGAACAATAGTTTTTGGTGGGGAGGGACACTCCAAGATTTTGGAAAATGCCCAAGGGCTGCACTTGTCTGTGGAGGGTCTAGGATGGAGGTTGGGCAGATGGGGTACGGTACTGGGATGCAGGAGATAGTGTGAGGTCTGAAAGTGAGTGTGGCTGAAGGAAGGGGTTGGGGGTGTAGGTCAGGGTGGGAGTGTGGATGCAGGGAAAGATTCTGGCCTGGCGGAGGAGTGTAGAAGGGGGTACAGAGTCTGGGAGGGAGTTGTAACCTGGGGAAAGAGGGTGCAGAGAATTTGGTGGTGTCCTATAAGAAGCTGGGGGACATGAGAGGCAGGCTCTGGCTTGGAGACACTTATCTAAGTGTCTCCTGGTAGCAGCCCTGCAACACCCCCCAAGGCAGAGTCTCTGCCTGCTCCAGCCCCAGTCTACTTAAAACTGCAGGGCTGCATTTAGACTGGCAAGTTTTTCCACAAAATCAGCTGCTTTTGCGGAAAAACTTGCCAGCTGTCTACACAGGCCACTTGAATTTCCACAAGAACACTGACTTCAGTGCTCCTTGCGGAAATACTATGCTGCTCCCATTCGGGCAAAAGTTCCTTTTGTGCAAAACTTTTGCGCAAAAGGGCCAGTGTAGACAGCTGAGATTTGTTTGCACAAAAAAGCCCCGATGGCGAAAATGGCGATGGCGAAAGTGCTTTTGCGGAAAAGCGTCCGTCCCACTCTAGACGCTCTTTTCCGCAATAGCTTTTAACGGAAAACTTTTCCGTTAAAAGCATTTGCGGAAAATCATGCCAGGCTAGTCGTAACCCAGCTGTTCCTTCCACGTGGCCCAGAGTGAAGCTTATACTGCCTCCCCCCCAACCTTTGGTCCTATTGGCTCGTTGTTTCTGGCCAATAGGAACTGGAGTCACTTCCTATTGGCTGCTTGCTTTCAGCCAATAGCAGCTGAGGATTGGGCTGGGGGCAGGGCCAACACTACAAGCCCCGCCCTCCTCCAGAGTACAGGGGCACAGGGAGTAGTCCAGTGCGGGCTGCATGCCAGAGAGTCCCATGGGTCAGATCTGGATGTGGCCTGCCAGAAGAATCTGACCTATTCCGGGTCTAGTAGGGGAGTGGTCAGTGTGAAGGTCCTGCCCTTCTCCGTCTGATGAGAGGCTGAAGATGGGATTCTCCTTCTTCCGCCCTCCCAGAGCTTCAGTGTTTTTTCCCCGTGACGACTGGGATGGTGGCTGGGGCTGCAGGCAGTGGGTGAGGGACTCTTGTTGTTGCAGATGCGGGTGACCTTCGAGGAGGTGGCTGTGTATTTCACCCCGGGGCAGGGGGCGCTGCTGGGCCCCGCTCAGAGAGCCCTCTACAGGGACGTCATGCAGGAGAACTACGAGGCGGTGACCTCGCTGGGTAAGGGCGTCCTGGCCCCTCGGGGATTAGGAGCCGGGGGGTCTGCGTGTCCGACACGGGTCAGGTCCTTCCCTGCTCAGGTGGCCTGGACAGGAATGGGTTCCATGGGCACAGCTGCTGGGGGAGAGCAACTTGCATCTCCGCACCCTGTGCAGTGAGACCAGGGTGCAAAGCCTAATGGACGTGCTAAATCATCCCCACCCGGCCCCTCTAGATTTCAAGGCGGAGGGACCATGAATTCTCCTGTCTGGGTTGTTCCTCACTCACATCCAGAATCCCTGTTCCTTTCCCTCCTTGGGACAAGCTCCAGCCGTGGAGAGGGCTCTTGGCTCTGCAGGTTTAGAAATAGGCAGGGGTGTAACTGCAGAGCTGTGAGTGTCAGCAAGGGCCCCAGACTGCCCAGATCCTGGGAACTCCTAGGGAGGGCATCACAATTCTTCTCATCTTCCTAAATGTTGGCCTTTCCTCAGAGGGCTCAGTGACCATGTTCCCGTCCTCTTGGGTTGCACATTCCCCAGCAGAGCCCGGGGACAGGTTCCACTCCCGGAATGTCCCTTGGGACGGACGCCCTCCATGCACCCTGATCTACTCTGATTTCACCCCCCATGCAGGGTTTCCCGTTCCCAAACCTGAGCTGATCGCCCGGCTGGAACAAGGGGATGAGCCCTGGGTGCTTGACATGCAGGCCGGAGGGGAGAGAGAGATGCTGAGACACACCTGCAGAGGTAAGGACTGACAGAAAACAGCTGCTGAATGAAGGAAAAAGTTAAGAATCCCAAAAACGAAGTATCAGTAATTGCCCTCCGTACTTCCTCCTTCCATGCAGGGCAGAATGTAGTCAGATGATTTTACTCAAGGTTTTCTACCGGTCCTGTTACTTGCAGGAGTGTCCTTCCCATGTTCCCTTCCCTGTGAATGTTTGTGTGGAAAGCGGAGGGACAATCCAAATATCTGGTCTGTGCAATTTCAGTGTGTTGGGTTTTCCCTTGGTGCTGTTCCTCTTTCTCTCCAGCTCAGTGATTTCTGCCTGAATTGTCTCTCTCTCCCAGCAGGTGATGAGACCGAGACTGAGAATGAAGAGGGGAATCAACAGCAGGAAGTTCCTGGGGAAATGGAACCGCAGGCGACCTTTGTGGGAAAAACTGAAAGGAATGTTTCCCAGTGCTTGGAACAGGGAGAAGCCTGGGGAAACTGGCCAAGGCTGAAGAGGCTGCTGGGAAACCTCCCATGTGAACAAAGGGATGAATCTATTAAAAGTGGGGAAGGACACAAGCATCCCGCAGCCCAGCAGAGAAACCCCAAAGAAGAGAAATATGATGAATGGCTCAGTTATGGGAATGGACTTATTCTGAGCCCAAATCTTATTACCATTCGTACAGTAGGTACTGGAGCGAAACCCCTTAAATGCTTGGACCATGGGGAAAGCATCAATAACAAATCAGATCTTAATGCTAATGAGAAAAGCCAAAGTGGGGAGAGAGGCTCTCGGTGCCTTGAGGGTGGAAAGTCTTTGAATCAGAAATCTACCCTGGTTGGGCAGGAGACAAGTCACACAGGGAGACCCCATAAGTGCTTAGAATGTGGTAAAAGTTTCAGAGAGAAGTCAGCTCTGATTAAACACCAGGCGATGCACACAGGAGACAGGCCCCATAAGTGTTTAGATTGTGGGAAAAGTTTCATATGGAGGTCCTCCCTTGTTTTACATCAGAAAATCCACACAGGGGAGAGACCCCACAAGTGCTCAGAATGTGGTAAAAGCTTCATACAGAGATCAGACCTCATGAATCATCAAGCAACCCACAGGCAAGACAGACCCCACGCGTGTTTAGACTGTGGAAAAAGTTTCAAATGGAGGTCAGCCCTTCTTTCACATAAAAAAATACACACTGGAGAGAGACCCCACAAGTGCTCAGAATGTGGTAAAAGCTTCATACAGAGATCAGACCTCATGAATCATCAAGCAACCCACAGGCAAGACAGACCCCACGCGTGTTTAGACTGTGGAAAAAGTTTCAAATGGAGGTCAGCCCTTCTTTCACATAAAAAAATACACACTGGAGAGAGACCCCACAAGTGCTCAGAATGTGGTAAAAGCTTCATACAGAGATCAGACCTCATGAATCATCAAGCAACCCACAGGCAAGACAGACCCCACGCGTGTTTAGACTGTGGAAAAAGTTTCATACAGAGGTCAGACCTCATTAAACATCAGGCGATTCATACAGGAGACAGACCCCATAAATGCTTAGACTGTGGAAAAAGTTTCATACAGAGGTCAGACCTCATTAAACATCAGAGAAGACACTTAGGATACAGCCCTCATAAGTGCTTATACTGTGGGAAAGCTTTTGAACGGAGATTGAACCTTGTTTTTCATCATGCAGTCCACACAGGAGAGAGACCCCATAAATGTTTAGACTGTGGAGAAAGTTTTATACAAAGGTCAGACCTCAATAAACATCAGGAGAGACACTCAGGAGACAGACCCCATAAATGCTTAGACTGTGGAAAAAGTTTCATACAGAGGTCAGACCTCATTAAACATCAGAGAAGACACTTAGGATACAGCCCTCATAAGTGCTTATACTGTGGGAAAGCTTTTGAACGGAGATTGAACCTTGTTTTTCATCATGCAGTCCACACAGGAGAGAGACCCCATAAGTGCTTAGACTGTGGGAAAAGCTTCATACATAAATCAGACCTCAGTAAACATCAGGCAATCCACACAGGAGAGAGACCCCATAAGTGTTTGGTGTGTGGAAAATGTTTTATATGGAGATCAGCCCTTGTTTCTCATCAGAAAATCCACAGGGCAGAGAGACCCCATAAATGCTTAGAATGTGGTAAAAGATTTATACGGAAGTCAGCCCTTGTTTCACATCAAAAAATCCACACAGGAGAAAGCCCCCATAAGTGTGTAGACTGTGGGAAAAGTTTCATACAGAGGTCAAACCTTATTAAACATCAGGCAATTCACACAGGAGATAGACCCTATAAGTGTTTAGAATGTGGAAAAAGTTTCATTGTCAGGTATAACCTTGTTAAGCATCAAGCAATCCACACAGGAGAGCGACCGCACAAGTGCATAGACTGTGGGAAAAGTTTCATACGGAGGTACGATCTTTTTAAGCACCAGGGTATCCACGCAGGAAAGAGACTACATAAGACTTTAAACTGTGGAAAATGTTCCATATGAAGGTCAGTCGTCATTTCATATCAGACAATGGATACAGGAGAAAGATCCTATAAGTGCTAAGACTGTAGTGAAAGTTGTATACAATATATAAAACTTGATTAAGCATCAGGAAATCCACAGATGAGAAACCATAAGTGTTAAACTGAAAAAAATTCATATGGAGGCCTGACCTTGATAAAAAAAACAGCTAATCGATAAAGAAGA